TGGCCTGGATAGCGCCAGGCGCCCTCCAGGGCGCTGCCCAATTTTCAGCTTCTATTTCCAGTGCCACAGGTGGCGCCAGGCGCTGCCTGTGGCGCCCAAATGCACAATTTTTTTGGTTTTGTTCGTTTTGGCTCTAATTTTGCGTGTTTCGCCCCCAATTGCTCCCAAATCATTCCTACACATGAAAACACCTCAAATTAATATAAATCATAGCATTTAACATCCCAAATTCACAAAACAAAAATAAATTATGAGGCGATATACATAGAAATATATATGCTTTAAGCTAAACATCAACACCCCACACTTAGACACTTTCTCGTCCTTGAGCTATGAGACTATCTAATAAACCCCCAACAATATACAAGTCTCAATTATAGAGGAGCACTTTAACTTTTAACCACACATTATACCCTTGACTAAGATCGATACTGGCACACAAGCATGAACACACAAAATTTCACATTCTTCCCGTTTAAGCATGCCCAAGTATAACCCTTCAATTCAATCAATTTCAACAACCTATTTGTCACCACCCAATCTCAAAAGCCGACTTGCAACCACTAAGCACCCTTAATTCATGCACTTACCCAACAAGAACGTTTACAACATTACCAGTCATTCATGAGATCATGTGCCCTCACCAACAAACAAAATAGTGAATATAGATAGTCCACACATTCAAATATACTTTTAAATATAGATTAAGGACATCACACAATTGAACAAAATTTGCTCACTCTCACAAAGAGTTCATATGCATCCCGTGGTCGTACCATAAGCTTTCCCGTAGTGTATATCTCTGCTAAATTAAGCTAGCCAAATCTAGGATCAATTAGGACTTTAAGGTTGTAATGTAGGCTAAGAGACGGGTATGATACATTTAGAAATAATGACTAACCCTCCTAAGCACTTTAATACATTACATTCACAATTCAAGTACATACTCTTTTCAACCAATTCACTTGCCATATACAACATAGCCCTCTTTTCAATGAAGTGCTTCTATAATTCCACTAGCACAAATCATTGAGAATTGGAGGTGTGTATTTTTCTATATTATTTGAACTATCATATTTTTTTCCTTTTCTTGCAATTTTTTTTCACACACTCCATACATTAAGGTTCATTGGCTAGTGTCTTTTGATTTTAGTACACCAACGGGCCGTTTCATGGTTCCACTCAAAAGCTACTCCCCAATCTCTAGCCTTACTTCTTTTAGCGACTAAGTGCCTTAGGAGGTAAAGATTCAATCAATGTCTAATTAAGAACAAAATAGGGGTATGGCTTGTAATGTGGGTGCCAAAAGAATGGTCTATAGGCTCAAAGGGGCTAGCAACGCAAAATTTTATTTTTATGTGACAAGCACATCCATGATCAAGTAAGAAAATGCCAACGTCATCTCCTAGATTAGCAAAACTTACAATTTTGCTTCAATTAACACACGGGGCAAGTTCTAGACTACACAGGATAGCACAGAAAACCATAAATCCTCACACACACGTTGCACATGAATCAATCAAGACGGCTCTATTCAACTCTCAGGTCAAGCAAGCATACATAATTAAGGAATTTAAGCAATATTGCACTATGTAGCATACAAGTCAAACGACTGAGAAAATGCGTTACAAAATAGGCTATTTACTTTACTTAGGCTTCACAATTCAAACCAAATACACGAGAAAACAGAATGTATGTCCTAGCCTAATGTGCCAGCATCAACCATGTCAATGAGCATTTCAAAGCGACTCAGTTTCTTCCTAAAGAAAAATAAAGTACCTGGTTCGAGCTACATCCTTGGAAAAAAACCGGTGCCCAAAGAAAAACCAAGAAATTCTACCTAGCTATTCTAAAAAAAAATCTTTTGGTGTTTTTTAATCTGACTTTTATCCCTCAAGAAAATTGTCCAAAAGATTCATCGTCGGGAAAAGATCGAGCTTTTTCAATTTTTTTGGTTTGTTTTTTTATACTTTTTTTTCTTTTTCTTTTGATTTAAAGCGACTAAACTACACTAGAACTACTAAAAGAAACAAATTAAAGCAAGTTGATACAAGATATACAACTACAGTACATGTAGTATTCCTCCCACCCCACACTTAAACTATACGTAGCCCTCGATGCAAGTAAAAATGAAAAACAGAGTAGGGTGAAAAGAAAAACTCCCTATCAGGCAGAGTCCACCTCCGCAGCATGCCCTCCACCAGCAACTCTGGGCTCATCATCATCCAGTCCTAGAGGCACCAAAGTCATGGGCCCCGTAGCACTATTTCTATCCTCATACTCAGTGTCTGAGCCCTTGACAGAGTTGACGTCCTTCGACGAGTGAACGAGGCTGCCAGGTGCAATCCCCAACATCTCCTTGGACGTGTTGGACAAGTCATTGAATAAATACATATGCTCCTCGTCTGTAATACCTGCCCTGCTCATGAGTAAGTTCATCGAGTTATAAAGGTACCTATTGAAGTTCTCATCTTGCTCCATCCGGGCTACGGGGTTGAGTTTTGATGATGTCTCCAACAGAGATGTGATGTCCATAAGGCCTGATGGAGCCTCCACCACCTCATCATGTCTGGGGGTACTCCAACACTCCTCGAAATAGTATATACTGAATGAGTAAGTTTCTGAAGAAGAACCGCCTAATCTGTCGCCCAAATCTCGTATGGGCCATCTCACTGAGCATAATCGTAGCCACATTAATAGGTCGGCCGGTCATTAAGAAGAAAATGACACACACTCTAGCGCGAGTGCAGTCGCTGCTATGCTCTACCAGCATGAGTCTCGCTTGTACAAAATTCTGCCATACTTTTGCAGCTTTGTTGAAGTCGGAGCGAACCATAGAAAGGTGAATGTTGCCCAACTTCCTGATCCACTTAGCATTGGAATCCACACCACAAAGAGTGTGACATATCAACTCATATTTCGGGCTTCTGATAAATTGTTGGAGTCTCCTTGGATTAGCATTCTCAACCTCCAAATAGTCATATAAAGACTCTCTATCCATCGGCACATCCTTCCCTCTTACACGTGAAGTGTCCAATTGGTAATCCCAGTTAGCATACAGCTCTTGAACTATGCTCAGGTTTGCAGGCCCAGGGCATTCCAAGAACTTGTGCATATTTAGAGCTTGCAGCCTGCCAAGTACCTCTGGGAAGTTTCTTTCTAAGGCCGTGGTATTAATCCCCATCTCAGAAATGTACCGTCCAGATGGCACGAAGTCCCTGTGCCATGCAATAGCTGCAGCATCGACCATGTTACAATTTTGGATCCAACATGTACAAGTGTTACACCATAAAGCTATGGGTACTCAAGACTTCCCCATTCCACACAATAATGATCATGGCTACGCGAATTCACATGAAGGTAAGCAAGAGGCATATGGTACGTACCTTTCACAACTACTAGACTATACTAAATTAGTCAAATTTACAAGATTCTACACATACATTATATAAGATAGACGGTGTAGGAACATGTATTGCATCAAAGCCACACCCCTAGCATGTAAAAGCATCCCTACACACCCCACATAGCCCAAATTCGTACACAAATATACCCGGTTACTCAGACTTCACCGGTGCACCAAAATCCTCATTCAAGCATTTTAACAAACACCTTGCGAGCATAAAGTGTGTGCTTCTAATTCAACAATGGTGGAATATGGTGACCCTCCCAATTTTCAACAAAGTAGAGGGCATTCTAGTTTACTACTCCATATACACATTAATCACACAATTTTGACCAACACAAGCCGCCCACCATACAAATTACATAAGAACTACATAAAAAAAATTGAGGGATTAGGGCTCTTGGGAACGGGACGTATATTGTTATCTACTCATTAAAACACAAAAAGAAAAAGAAGGAGAAGAAGAAGAAGAACATACCTGTAGACTGGAGAAGGAGAGCAAGAGAGAAAGAAAAATTGGAGAAAAGTTTTGTGAGGAAGAAAAGAGGACGCGACAGAAGCAGTATTGAGAAGGGAGGGAGAGAAACGTGTGTTTGTAGTGAATTTATGTTGAGTTTGGAATTTGCGTTATGGGTTAAGTTGGCTTGGAGATGGGTATGGGTATTATGATGGGTTAAAATGTTAGTATAAATGGGTATTTGGGTGGGGTTAAATGGGCATGGGTCAATAAAGAAATAAAAGAAACGAAAAATAAAAAATAATAAAAAAAACTTATCTAATCCACCCCAGCCCGACGCCTCGCGCCCTGCCTGGCGCTGGGGTTTTTTGCACATACTATTTCCAGCGCCCCAGGCAGTTCTGGGCGCTGTTTTCGCAATTGTTTTTGAAACATCCTGATCCCCCGAGCCTTTTATATAACAAATTTACATGTCCTACACCATTCTACTTATCATTTATATGCCTACAAAGAAAATACAAATTAAGAAGTTAAACTAGGAAAGCAATAAAAATTGGGTTGCCTCCTAACAAGCACCCGATTTAACGTTGCGACATGACGCAGAGTCTTGCTTACTCATCAGCGAGTACAACCTTGGTCTTCTCACGATTAATCATTCCTCCCAAATAGTGCTTGACTCTATGTCCATTCACCAAAAATTTCCTTTCACCATTTAAAGATCGCAACTCGATTGCACCATAAGGAGTGACTCTCACTACCTCAAACAGACCTGACCATCTTGATTTTAGGTTTCCAGGGAACAACCTTAGCCTAGAATTGAATAATAATACCTGTTGTCCTGGCTCGAAGTGACACGACTTGATATGCTTGTCATGCCATCTTTTTGTCTTTTCTTTATAGAGCTTAGCATTTTCATAAGAGTGCAACTTGAACTCATCTAACTCATTCAACTATAAAAGTCTTTTCTCGCCCGCGGCTTCAAGGTCCATATTCAACTTCTTAATGAACCAGTATGCCTTGTGTTCCAGTTCAACGGGCAAGTGACACGCCTTCCCATAAACAAGATTGTAAGGGGATGCCCCAATTGGCATTATATGCAGTTCTATATGCACATAAGGCATCATCTAACTTTGAAACTCAATTCTTCCTATTCACACTCATCGTCTTCTCTAATATCTGCTTTATCTCTTTGTTTGACACTTCAGCTTGCCCACTTATTTGAGGATGATATGTCGTAGTAATTTTGTGGCGAACTCCATATTTAGCTAGAAGGTTATTCAACAACCGATTGCAAAAATGAGTCCCCTCATCACTAATTAAGGCACGTGGAGTCCCAAATCTTGAAAATATGTTCTTTTTCACAAAAGCAGCTACCACCATGGCATCATTTGTTGGCAAAGCAATTGCCTCCACCCATTTTGACACGTAGTCAACTACTAGCAAGATGTATTTGTTTTTTCTAGACGATGGAAATGGTCCCATAAAATCTATCCCCCACACATCAAAAAGCTCAACTTCTATAATGTTATTCAAAGGCATCTCATGCCTCCCTGTGATTGTTCCTGTTCTATGACATTGGTCATACTTCTTAATAAATGCATGGGCATCCTTGAATAGAGTTGGCCAAAAGAGACCGGATTGTAGTACCTTTGCAGCTGTTCTATCTCCTCTATGATGGCCCCCATAAGGTGATGCGTGACAATCATACAACACTAATTTCACCTCCTTTTCTAGAATGTATCTCCTCATCAACTGACAAACACATTGCTTGTACAAATATGGCTCATCCCAGTAGTAGAAGTTCACATCATGAAGAAACCTTTTTCTAGCTTCAGATTCAATTTCAGGAGGAAGTACCCCATTCACAAGATAATTCACATAGTCTGCGTACCATGGGGGAGGGTCTTAGGTTATAGCAAAAAGTTGCTCATCAGAAAATACTTCTTTAATTTGGCCACCCTTCTCCACGTGATCGTGATTTTCTAGCCGTGATAGTTGGTCAGCTACTTGGTTCTCTGTCCCCCTTCGATTTCATATTTCTACATCAAATTCTTGTAGCAACAAAACCCAGCGCATCAACCTAGCCTTAGATTCCTTTTTTGTAAACAGATACCTGATTGCTGCATGATCGGTATGTACTATGACTTACGTTCCCACCAAGTATACCCGAAATTTCTCAAAGGCCCACACAACAACTAACAAATCCTTCTCAGCGGTGGTGTAATTCAGCTGTGCATCATCAAGAGTCTTACTCGCATAATAGATGGAATAAAATACCTTGTCCTTCCTAAGGACTAGCACTGCCCCAATAGCGTGGTCACTTGCATCACACATAAGTTCAAATGGTAAGGACCAACCGGGTGCCACAATAATAGGAGCAGACACCAACTTCTTTTTGAGTTCTTCAAATGCCTTGAGGTAGGCGTCATCAAAGTTGAAAGTTACATATTTCTCAAGCAACCTGCACAAAGGAGTAGCAGTTTTAGAAAAATCCTTAATAAACCGCCGATAGAAACCCGCATGTCCCAAGAAACTCCGGACACCCTTCACTAAAATAGGTGGAGGTAATTTTTCAACCGACTCCACCTTTGCCTTATCAACTTCAATGCCTCCCCTAGATATTCTGTGACCCAACACGATGTCTTCTTGTACCATAAAATGGCTCCCAAACGCACACGCAAGTATACGTGGTCGTTGAAGTAATAAAAATGATAAGTCGAGTGTCGAACCCACAGAGACTTATATCAACTACTCACTAACTCTCCAATATTGTTATTCAGTCAAGCTAAATTCGAGTTCAAGAGTTTAATTATACTAAACTACAATTCTAAGTAATAACTAAATTATCAAGTAGTAGAATGATTGTTATGTATTCAATAGAGACAAATATTCCAGGGTTGTAATCGATTCACCAATCCTATTGTGTTCTAGTTAATTCTTCCTCTCATACAATTCACTCATGATTGCTAATTAATCGATAATTGCTCTTATAGACTTCTCTTGAAGTACTACTTGCCTATTCAAAATAGACTAACGCCTATATTCCTATGAAATCAATCTATTAAGAATGCATTAAGATTACGATATTTAATTAAGCACAATGACTAGTTATATTCCTATCCTAACCACAAATTCCCCCTAAGGGTTAAGATCATGCTCTCTTCAATTCTTCTCTAATCTAAACACGGCTTTCCCAAGTATAACATAGATAGTAAATAGTACCTAACTGCTGGCTAGACAATTAAACAATTAATCACAGAATTGAAGAAACAACCATATATTAGTGAATTATAATCGAGGTTAAGTCAACGTTAAACAACAATATTCATGGCTAAATCACAACCCCAGAACAATGGGTTTTTAGCCACTCATAATACTAGCAAACAATTGCATAAGTTTTGAATAATTGAAAATACTAGAAAAGATGAAGAAATCTGAGTTGTCCTTGCTACCGGATGGTTCTTGTGTGTATTTTTCCTCCAAAGTGGCGTCTTTCCCTTCAAAAATAGGCTTAGTCTTTCTTTTATACATGTTGGGTAGGTCTAGGGGTGGATAAACCGTGTCCCGGGAAAAACAGGACAAAAATCACGTCAACAACACCCTGGATAGCGCCAGATGCCCACAAGGGTGCTGCCCAATTTTCTGCTTCTGTTTCTAGCACCACAGGTGGCGCCAGGCGCTGCCTGTGGTGTCCAAATGCACAATCTTTTTTGTTTTGTTCATTTTGGCTCTCATTTTGCGCGTTTCGCCCCTAATTGCTCCCTAATCATTCTTACACATGAAAACACTTCAAATTAATATAAATTGTAGAATTTAACATCCCAAATTCACGAAGCAAAAGTAAAATATGAGGCGATATACATAGAAATATATATGCTTTAAGCTAAACATTAGCTATCATCATGTTTTGGGATGAATGCCATATTTGGGCCTCGTGCCAACTGTTTTGGACCCTTAGGAGGTTTTTACTGCTATTCCTAACTATTTGGACTTCATATATGTACTCAGTCATGTTGTATTCTATTGTTTTCATAACTCGGCCATATTTACTCTATTTTGACATTTTAATGATATTTTGGGCCGAGAATCATATAGTACTGTGCCTGAGTGGCTTTGAGAGATTTCTGACTGAATAAGGACGAGGGCCTGTGTTGTAAGGTTATTATGGGATCGAGCTGCGCGCCACAACGGTATTGTACTGATTCATGATTATGAGGCCGAGGGCCTGATTTATTACGCCACGAGGTGTCTTGTTATAAGACTGAGTGCCTGTTTGATTATGCCACGAGATGGCTTGTTATTGCGCTTGGGTCTTAAGGGGCCCCTCCCAGAGTCTGTACACCCCCAGTAAGCGCGGGTACCCAGTCTGAGATGTGATATAGCCCAAGGGGCTGATGTTGTTCCATGTTATTGCCCGAGGGGCTAATACGAGTGATTGTGAGATAACCCGAAGGGCTAGTTTTATTGGTATTTTGCCCGAGGGGCTGATTTATGTTTTCTATCTTTTCTCCCTGTTTTCATTTACTCGTTTTAATATGCTAAAAAATGTTTACTAAACTAAGATGTTTCTGCGAGCTTTTACTATTTTGTTTCATTGTCCTGGTTTTATACTGCCTCTTTGTAGCATTTTGCTATTTTTTACGTGTTTTCTTATCACTCAGCTACCTTTACTTTTATTACTTACTAAGTTGGCATACTCACATTTCACCCTGCACCCTGTGTGCAGATTTAAGAGCCTCGAGTCACGCTAGCGAGTACTGATTGCTTCCAGCAGGCTGTTCGGAGTTTACTAGGTAGCTGCTCGGCGTTCACAGCCCAGTGCTTCTCTTTCCTATCTTTATTTTCCTTGTACTAGCTTTGTACTCGATTGAATAGTCTTTTCATACTCTTAGATGGATGTTTAGATACTCATGACTGGTGACACCCCGATGTCGGGCTGTGTTGTTTACGCAATTGTTCTATTTCACTCTTTATTTTGGGATTTATAGTTTATTTATGACTTAAATATGAATCATTATACTTGTTTAATTGATATTGGGGGTTTGTGTCAGTTGTCCTTGTTTCACGATAGGCGCCATCACAACCGGGTCTGGTTTAGGGTCGTAACAAGTTGGTATCAAAGCCTATGTTACATAGGTCTCACAAGTCATAAGCAGGTTTAGTAGAGTCTTGCAGATCAATACAGAGACATCTGTATTTTCCTCGGGAGGCTGAATATCCTTTAGGAAAAACTTAATATTCTTGAAATTCTTGTCGTGCGAATCTGTTGATCCAAGTACTAAACTTCTATTATTCTATTCTCTCACAGATGATGAGGACACATGATACCGGTCAGGATGGACGGCCACCAGTACCACCAACTGGGGCCACTAGAGGCCGAGGACGCAGTCGAGGCCGTGGTAGGGGCAGGGGTGTATCCCGCACAGCAACTAGGGTAGCACCTATAGATCCACCAACTACCCTAGTTCATGATTAGGTCCCAGTTGTGGACGCTCCAGCAGCACCAACGCAGGCACCAGCTGTGCCCATTGTGATTCCGGGTCTTCAGGAGGCCATGGCGCAGATTCTAACAATATGCACTGGCCTAGCTCAGGCGGTCTCATTTATTGCAGCCACAACTACTTCTCAGGCCAGGGGAGGCACTCAAACTCCCATCGCTCGCATACCTGAGCAGGTCGTGCAGGGACTTTAGACACCGAGGGCACCTCCAGCCCAACCAGTTGCAGTTGTTTAGGACTATGTAGCTCCTACAATGCCAGAGGACGAGCAACACAGGTTGGAGAGGTTTGGTAGACTTCAGCCTCCGACTTTCAGTAGTACAGAGGGTGAGGATACCCAGGGTTTGTTGGACAAGTGTCAGAGGATTCTTCGTACAGCGGGTATTATTGAGACCAGCGGGGTCGTATTTACCACTTTTTAGTTTTCTAGAGCTGCCTTCACTTGGTGGGAGGCTTTTGAGAGGCGTAGGCCTGTTGGTGCAGCACCCCTTACCTGACAGTAGTTCTCCATTCTCTTTTAGGAGAAGTATATGCCACAGTCTCGCAAAGAGGAGCTACGTAGGCAGTTCGAGTTGTTGCATCAGGGAGAGATGATTGTGCATAGTATGAGATGAGGTTCTCAGAGCTAGATCATCATGCTGATTCGTTGGTTCCTACGGAGAGAGAGAGGATTAAGAGGTTTGTTGATGGCCTCACGTATTAGCTTCATATTCTCATAACCAGGGAGAGGGTGTCTGGTGCTACTTTTGAGGAGGTTGTTACATTGCTCGCAAGATTGAGTCAGTTCATTGCCAGAAGCGAGATGATGTCGCGCTCCCTTTTCCCTCGTGGGGTCCGGGTTTTGACATTCATGGGGGAACAACTCATTTTCTTTTGGGAATTGGGTATTTGTAGAGTCGCCACCTAACGGATTAAGGTGCGTTAGGGCACCTAGAGCGATTAACTCATGTGACTAGTTTGCATTACCAGAGATTAGGGTAAGGACTTGAAATAACCTTGAGGGAAAGGTGTTAGGCACCCCTCACGGTCCACAACGGTGGGTCCTGGCCGAACTTAAACTATGTGAATTAGTCCTTTAACAAGTAAATAGCCTTAGCACATATTTGCAAACAAAGGTGGTTTCCACAGTCTAAATACACATATGATCTAGGAAATCTAGATAATGAAAGTAAAAGAGGTTTGGACAGCTTAAACACACATATATGTAAAGAAAAAGTAAGTTTAGATAATTTAAACACATACAGGAATTGGGAAAGGGAAGTCCTAAGTTGATTAGCCTACAAGATCAATCTGTGCAATGCCCGGTAATCCTCCTCAACTTGAGGGGCTACATGTGTCATTGGCGCGCAGGTCATCATATCCTTTTACTACCCATTACCCTCCCATTTAATGGTTATATAAGCAAGTTTGATTAACAACCTCTAACCGTGCTACTATCCGTCCCTTCCTTGTGGTCCTGGAGGAGCTTAGCACCTCTAAATCTGGGCAGTTCTAGACAAACCTAAGATATTTAAAAGGCAAAAATCTAAGCAACAAACAAATAACATGTAGGACAAGTAAATAGGGAAAAAACAGTGAAAAGGCTCATTTTTACCTCCGCATGTATATAGGCAAATAAACAGCACGTCTCAAACAACTTATTTTGAAGAAGTTTAGAAAGCCTAGGAATATGATATCTAGATGAATGTTCCAGATACAGGATACGCAATGTTTGTTTTAAGGGAAGTGGCAGAATCCTAACCAGTTTTGTCACGCCCCAAAAATCGTGGAATGCAACCGGTGCTCAACCGAGTAAACCTGACTGAGCAAGCTTGTTAGATTTCATTCTACCCAAGATAATTTATGAATAAAGAGGGAATGTTATCCCATTTATCAAAACACTAAGCAATCTTCCATTAGCAACTTTCATTTCATTTCCGTCAATGACTTCATTCATAGTTTACAAAATATTACAAGTTTATAAGTTTAATGAAAAACATGCTTATCAAGTATCAGTTTTTATAGTCTTGACTCCCAACCTCAACCACCGCCTACAAACAGTCTACAGAGCCTCTAAATACAATAGAAGAGTAATAGGAAAATGCCGGCAACAAGGCTCCGGCTATACCTCAAAACGTGATGAGAAAATGAACAAAAGATACATGACATGACCCCGGG